CTCCTCCGTCATCAAAAACACAGATGGAAAGCAGGGGAGATAGATCCACCGTAGGCAGATTGGTGTAGCAGACTTTGGCCGCCGTGAGGGCGGGTTGGAACGCGACGAAGACGCGTCTGCTGTGGTTCCTTCGGCTGTTGCTGGTATCCATTTGCATAGGCCATCTGGTCGATACGAATCAACGAATCGACTCTAAGGTAGTCTTTTGGGTCGTCTAGCGGACAGCAGCCAGTTTCTCTAAGGGTCTATGCCAATGGGTACTAGCAACAGCCAGTGTGCATAGGTCCTTAGAGAAATTGGCTGCTGTCCGCTAGACGACCCAAAAGACTACCTTAGAGTCGACTCGTTGATTCATTCGACCAGATGTGTGAGAATAGAACTGGAGATCAATCTAGTTTCGCCGATCTAGTTTATTCACTGGAGCCGGTGAAAGAGTAAATGCACATCGATTTGGCCTTCAACGGGAGACGGTCTTTAGCTCCCAGTTGTGGGCGTGAGGCATCCTTATCAGGGGGTTTCGAAAACCGCGGCCTAGTGAAAATGGTTACTACCTTATACAATTACGGAGCGTCAACAAGTTTTCTATGAACGCGTGGCTCACGTGAGTTGGACCTCGAGGTACCCTGCCGGTGTCAGTCTTCACTTTCAGCCTATATTTTTTTTAGCATCAAACGCTTTCAGATATAGGCCAATTCATTGACCTCGCTATATAGTAACCTATTGACCGCCGTCTATTCCTAGCTTTTCGCTGATTAATTCGTAGCCTTTGATAGTGTAAGCAGTGCCTTCGAGTTCGGCCTATAGTTTACATGCCGTCGACTGCCAAGCAGTGGTGTGGAGGCGACATAGGCCTCTGTAAGCTTTATATAGTTCGAGGGTTTCACGAACATCAAAGGTGGTAGGGAAACATTTTGAATGCACATCTCCCCCTGACCCCCCTAGCCAATGTTCTAGTCAGTTGACGAGTCCCCGGGTGCTTTTAAGTTTACTCTTGTCTTTTTGCATGTCTGTGTGCATGTATATTATGAAAACCAAATTATTTTGGCTTTTTGCTGTTAACACGCAGTTATTCTTTTTTTTAAATGTCTAGTTGGAAGCGGGCGGAAAGTGACGAGGACGCCATTGCCATCTCTGAGGGCACCTTCTTCTACAGTCTCCTTAGTCATTGCCTTCTGAGTAGTGAGTACCGTCGTCCGTATGCTTTTCTGCGTTTTCTTCGAATGAACTGAAAATTTCTGACACGTTTTGTGGGCTTTTGTTTCATAAGAGTGCTTATCGGGGTAGGCTCAACTTTCAGCTTTGCTACTTGACACCAAGGCCTGCTAAATGTCCTTATTAAAGCAGCCGTACAGAAAATTCTCTGATAGCTGCATGAAGACTGTTGTTTTTTAGAAGGCCCTATCGATACAAAAACCAGCCTTCCCAGTAACCGTACATACGCTAAATACTAATCTGTCTTGTTGGCTTAAAACTTGAGTGCAGATCAGATCTGGTTCGAAAT